ACAGCACGAAACACTGCAAAAACGCATGATCGCACGGGCCCGCCCAGTGCGCGCCGCCAATGATTTTCACGTCTCACGCACATACACGTGAAATTTGACATAACTCCACAGCCAGAGCAGCTTGAGTGATGAGACTTTCTGAGCGCTGACCAGGACTGTGTTTAAGAAACTGCATGCAAAGAAAGCATTCACGTCGCCACTCACGATTAAATCTGACATAATTCCACAACCGAAGCAACTAGAAGTGCTGAATTTTTTGGGCATGGTTTGGGAGTCATTGTAATAATTTCTAACAGTCGTAGTGGCTACTCTCAGTTACCTTAGCTAAAAGCATCTACTGGAAAAACAGTTTCATTAGCAACAAAAATTTGCAGGGGAACCATGCAAAAAACGCATCTTCGCACCGGCAGTCGGTGCGCTTTCGACCAAGTTTGCATCTATGCAATGCAAAAACGCACATTATTGAGGGGCTGTCTGTATGTGTACGTATGTATGTACGTATGTATGTGTGTATTATGTGTATCTGTGTGTGCGTTTGTAACGAGTTTTCGTCTCGTGATCCACAAAAGCTGGAAGACTAAAATTTTGGTAACTTAGCCTATACATACGTGCGGGATCCTATCGTCAGTTTCATGTGGTTCTCACGTACGAGCAAGTGGAAGTTTTTTTGGCGGAAAATCGTTCGGGAATGACGCAAGCTAGGAGGCTGGAACTTCACAGAGATGTCCCTTGGCCGCGTCTAATTTAAAGATTCCAAATTCAGTCCTCACCTAAGGGTGAGTAGGTCTCACTTATATACACGTAAAAGTCTAGACTGGCATTATGCCAGCTCCACATTTAAGCTGGCCAAGAAGTTGTAGAGAGCTGCAATTTTGCAGCGTTACTTGACGTTAACTGTTGCGCCCGTGAAAGTAAGTGAGTTTTCCAGCCCCTCTGCATCTCACATGCGGACACTTGAAAACTGAAGCAGCTAGAGGACTGGAACTTTTTGAGCACAACCGACGGTGGCTTCTGACCAGATGGACGCAAAAACGAACTGCACAATCACTTCCACGTCTCACGTACACAAACGTGAAATTTAGCGTAACTTCGCAACCAAAAACGCTAGAGCACTAAAATTTCCCGAGTGCTGCGCAGGACCGTGTGTGAGCAACCGCACGCGAAGACAGCATTCACACTGCCA